CAGCCTTGGATGAAGGTTCTAGAGTATATATTTATCAATATCTTTTAAGAAATGGCTGTCTTTTCAGTTTCCACGTACACAGGCACATATTATCCAAGTTACCTATGGAAATAGTCTATGGCTAGCTGTGGACATCCTGAGAGATCACTCCCAGGATTTTGCTGTGGGTGCATGATCAGAAGTTAGGAAGTGACTAGTCAAACAATAAGGAGATGCTAGAGAGAAGAGGGGAGCTAGGAGGACCCCCCTCTACCAAGGGGTTCTGCTCTGCTGTCAGCAAACCCCTTGCCCCCAAACAGGTATAGATCACTCCGACAGTTGTTGAACTGCAGAGGGACACCACCATGCCTGCCATCCCTCATCCTGCCTAATGCCACATGGCATGATTCATGAGGCTATGGTGAGTATGTGTGAAGCCTCAGGACAAAGGAACAGGAGTAGCGCAGGGAGAAGACGGCTCATTCATCAGCCTGCCCTGGTAGATTTGAGAGGGACAGAGAGTGAGTCAAAGAGACAGGAAGACCATCAAGTGGCCAGTACTGACATCATCATCAGCTCCAGACAAGACAAAACTGAAGTCATCCCACAGAAAAAGTAACTGAGAAAGAGGTACAGAGACATCATTCCGTGAGCCTTCCAAATGCCTAGCTGTGTCAAATTCTCCCACTTCTAATCGTCCCTCAACACCAGACCTTGGTCAACATCAGTCACCAAAGTCTTGCCAGATGCTTCCTCTGGGGTCCCTGGGCATCGGAGAGCCCACCTTACTGTGCTGTTCTGGTCCCCTGTTCCACTCAAGGTTAACCCTAAGAGAGTGGAGCAAGTGGCAGCCTTGTCTCCCCATAGCTCCTCCCTGTGCCGTCCCAGCGCAAGAGTTTCAACAGGTAAGAGTCTGTGCAGGATCTAAGATGGTGGCTTGCAGGCTAGCACACTGGAAGTTAGCGAACTACCCTTACGGGGCTGAGAACACACAGGCTCTGCAGGCACATCAGTGACAAGGATCGAAAGGGCAGGCCTCTAATGAGTCAGGGTATTTGTGCAACCCTGCTGAGCAGAGGGGACCATGGGGGCAGAGCTTCTATTTTTTTTTTTTTACTTTTGCTGAGGAGTTGTAGTTCCAGAAGGCTCCCTGCAGAGACAGTGTCTGGTGACACATACAGATCCCACTGCTGTGGGTGAACTCGTGTCTCCCCACTGGCCATGTCTCTATCTATAAGCCAATCCCAAAGTAGGACTCTCACTCCTGAGAAACAGTATAGTCTACCCACCCCTACATGGGAAAGGCAGGGTAAGGTGAAATAAATACAAATGCTCTTGTCCCTCAGACACAATCTCCTTTTTTCATTCATTCATTGAGGGCCACCTCTTCAGGGTATGTACAGTGTGTATATGTGTCTCTCTGTATGGGTTTGTGTCTCTGTGTGTGTATGTGTATATGTGTGTATGTGTCTCTATGTGTATTGCGTGTGTCTCTCTATGTGTGTGTATGTGTGTGCGTGTCTCTGTGTGTGTATCTCTGTGTGTGTATGTGTGTGTGTTAGACTAACTGCCTTTGGTGTCCACATATAAGACCCACTTTGGTCTTTCTAAGAGTTCACAAAAGAGGAGGTTTTGATGGTTTTATGTCACATTAGTATATTTATATGCATTTCCCCGTGGGTCTACATGAGCAAGAGGTATTAGTATCAGACTCTGTGAGTGGCTTGGAAATCCACACAAGGTCAACAATCCATACTTTAGCTGTCTAGACTCTGTCTCTTGACATTGACTCCTGTTGCAAGAACAACTCCCAAGGTGTCCAAGAGGGAGCTTTCACTTTCGGTTGGGGAGCTCTGGGTAGCCCAGGAGGATAACACATCTGCAGGATGCGGGTGTCCACACAGGCAGGAGAGGCGGTAAGTGCTTTTCAACTGCCTAACCAAGTAGAGAGGTAGCTGATTCTTCCTACCTAAGGGATGCCTACTGGCTCCTAAGGTTGGCTTCCCACCATCTGTTCTTCCAGTATTTGTACGGAAAGAAGTAAACTAAAACCTAAACTCCCCAGGCTTAGGACCTACTGAGAATCATATACTCCTGGCATGCAACATCAGACTGCCTTACATCATATCTCTTCCTGAGCCAGAGACCTCCAGGACCAGGCAATGCTGGGGAAATGAGGTTTGGATCTCTGCAGTTCTGAGGCTGCCAGCTCCAGCTGGGGACTGTGGCAGCTGACTCCCGACAGGGCATCTTGTCACCTTAGCAGGGGTTGAAACGACAGACACCATCCCACTTCGTTGAGAGATCCTTGGCTCACTCGTGGCTGACAGTTTGGTATCTCCCCGTGGCTGTTTATCAGGGCATGATAGCTAATTAATTTGCGAAGCCCTCTGGAAATCCGACACAGATGGTCCCGTGTGCCTCTCTTTGTGGACCCTACGTTGTGACCCCTTGAGAGGTAGCTGTCATTTGCCAGTACAGCTCAGCCTGGATGGCCACACACCTAGCTTGAGGCCCCTGAAAGGCTGTCACCTATCTTTAGCTTTTGTGCTGATGCCATGCATTAATGACCTTGACCCCCTGTTAGGATGAGATCCTGCCCTGTCCTGCTGAACCTCAGTCATTGTGGAACGGGCCCCCGGGACTCTTCTGGGTTCTTCTTCAGGCTCCCTCCCTGCTCGCTTCTGCTTTTAGTCTGTGGATTTTAGCTGGCTCCCTGCCTCCTTTACTAGATTATAAACTCAAGGATGAGTTTATGTGACCAGGATGGGTGGGTCCATCCATGTCATCTCAGCTTGAGCTGGGCCTGGGCAAGCGGGAAGAACATTTTATTGGGTGCTCCTTGACGACAGGGCCTCGTTTTACCGGCACATGGTGCTGAGCATGGCAGAGTGCCCGGCACATACCAAGTGCTACCCAAGGCTGGTGAATGAATGAATGAATGAATGCATGCATGCATCTCAAGACATACGCCCAGGTAAATGACCGCGTTCTTGTGTTCAGCCCCTCTTTGTGGCTTAGAGGGAGACGGTGGGCACACTTTTAAGGTGGAGAGCGAAAGACGGACCACATAAGGATGCTCAGGGCACTGTCAGAAGAGAAGGGGAGGCCTTTGAGGCAAATGAGAACGGTTTTCCGAGGCAGGACCTCCGCCCTCCCACACACCCCCACCCTAAAGGCTGTGAGTTCAGGACGATGTGACTCTGTTCATTACCTGTCTCCCTCTGCCATCGATGCTCCCCAGAGTCCCCAGGCCACAGCAGCAGTTTCTGTGTGAAACCCTCACCTTCGCTTGTTCCGACCCCTGGAGTAATAACTCAATGACCCGCACATATACCTTATCCCCAGCCAGCACCTCCTGTGGACACTGTCCCAGTGCCCACTGTGTCTTCTTTAGAGCAGTCCTGTGACTGTGGCCTGCCCTCTGGGTCTCTGTCTGAGGGCTCTGACCAGGGGAGCTCTGGGAGGGTGGGGTGACATCCACTGGTTAAGCTTTGCGGCTGAGTCCTAGTGACTGACTGAGTGGTTCTCTGGTCGTCCACATTAGCTGAAGGGACTCATTCATTCAAGCCTGAGGGTTTCTGGACAGGGGTTAAAAAGTTGTCCCCTCACTCCCGCCTTCTGAGTGTCCCTCCCTCCAAAGCTCCGCCGCTCCTCAGTGTGCATGTGGGGGAAGCCCCTCTTCAGCAGATCCCGCCAGCTTGCTCTTCCCCACACTTAGGCCGCTGCCACCGAGGTCTTACACCATCTGCTCGTACCTTCCCGGCATGCTCTGGGCAGGGCTGACTTTCCACAAGCCAGCTGAGTCTGTCAAGTACACAGCACTGCTAAATTTAGATGACGCCCCACTGTTTGCAGTTTATCTTTGCGAAGGACACCCAGTGAGGTTTCTAAATGACTGTCTTGAGTTTCTACATTGGCCTGGCTGGGTGGGGTCCTGGGGACACCATGCCCCAGGCTCTACTCTGGCTCTGTAGGGACTAGCTGCAGACTGGGGGGGGGGGTCACTAAGTCTCTGGGAGTTTTCCACTTTGGGAATGGGGATGGCAGGGGGCGGTGTGTAGGAGGGTCCTCCCGGCACGCCTGCCTGCCACTCTCTGATGAGAAGCAGGCTTCTCTTTCACCCAGGAGCACGCCCGTAGGGTTCCTTGCTGCAGACGCACACACACTGTGAAATTGTATACACGGCGCATAGAACACTGTATTATTTGAAGGCACGTGAGTGTTCTAATTCCAAGCTGTGGAAAACCGAAAGAGAGCCGCGTACACACATCCCCTGTCATTTGTGTCCCCGTGGAAGCTGCCTCACTCCACCTCATTTTAGGTGAACTGTTTCAAATGATACTTTCCACCTGGTATGTCCGCACACGCATGGCCCCTAGGAACTACCACCGTCTTCTGTTACCACTGTGTCCTAGAGCAGTGACGTCCCTGTGACGCCATCATCTGCGCGTGCGCGGTGTGGGACTGGATGTCTCACCCATTTCGCAGATGAGAACATGGAGGCCTCCAGTGGTTAAAATGACACGTGCTCAAGGGGAAAAAAAAGGTTGCTTCTAGATCTTTCTCCTTGAATCTGGGATTCCCTCAGGGATCACACCTTGCTCTAATCTGCATCACACGAGAGCCTTTTGACTTCTTCTGGCAGTACCACAGCCGAGGTGGGCAGCTCTGGTCTACACAGGACCAGTTAGTTGTCCACTGTCCTAGGCCTCTGGCCACTGAAGCTGGCCCAATAGCAGAGCTGGGGCTCCAGGGACGGCTCTGGGCGCTATAAAACTGAAAGGAACTCTGGGAAGAAACGCCACAGTGAGCTACCCTCAGCCTCCTTGGGCCCAGTGAGCTCTGGGGACACACACAGGCAAATTCACAGCCCCATCTGCCTTTTAATTGGAAAGAGAGAGGAGGGGGGAAGTGAGTTTCTGTGAGCCCTGGCCACTTACAATCAAGCTGGCTATATTCTCAAGTGCTTTGTGAAGGAATTAATAAGGCCCCTCTCTTCCCGGTCCTCGTCCTTGCAGAGAGAAGTCTGCTCTGCGGGTGAAAACAGGAACCTGCCCTCCTGCCAGCCCTGCGCAGGCCACCGTTGCCTTCCTTGTTCAGCAGAGGAAGTGTGCAGCCCTTAAGCAACTACAACCCCGTAGCTCGCTTGTTAGCATGGGCTGTGCCTGGGCTCCCTCTCAAGCCCGTGCGGCCCCACGCAGCCCGGAGCAGCAGCAGCTGATGGAGAGCTGGTGACCCCGTGCCTGGTGGCCCTCTGCTGCCAACTTCCAGGAGAGGCCATGTTCTGCGTCTGAAGGTATTGAGGGCCGGGACAGGGAAGGGAGAGACTCTACGAGCCCTCTGAAGTGCAACTGTTAGGGCTGGGTGTCTGGTAGCCAGAGGAGGACCCTGACACTGAGCAGGGAATGGTCCTGGCGATGCCCTGCCTCCTAGCCCCACGGCCACTCTGAGGATGCTGAAAAGCTAACTATGAAGGAAGGGGGGCTGAGGCAGGTGGGTGGGCAGCCCGTTTTCCTGCCAGGGGACAGTCTGACTCAAGACAGCTAGGATGGGCAAGTCACCACGGGCAAGCCATTTAAGCCACTACCGACCTGCATGGCCTCATCTGTGGGATGGGAACAGTGTGGCTGGATCACACAGATGACCGTGGGAGGAATTGGTGCTGCATACACACAGCGCCCATGGTAGGTCCAGACACACAGTAGGTGCTCAGTGAGGGCTGTCAGTCAGTCATTGTGTCTAAAGGCACAGAGGAGCTTGAATGGCGTTAGCACTGCCGTGGGGAGTCTGGTAGCTAGAATCTTCCTGGGGAAAGGTGGCACAGATAACTGACAATTGTCTAAGCAGGAAGCGGGCAGATGGGAGAGGCAGAGCTAAAGAGAAGGCCAGCATGCGACGCATATAAATTCCGAAGTCATAAAATGGTACAAACGAAAGAAGTGTGGCAAACTCAGAATTTCCTAAGAAATGTGGCAGGCTGCATGTTAAGTGGGTGCCTGCGTATTGAGAGAAACTGTTGTCAGAGAAAAAAATTGGGCCATGGACTCAGAGTGGCCTGCCTGGGGGCTCTGTAAGGACTATAGATTGTAGACTCAGAGTGGCCTGTCTAGGGGCTCTGCACAGGGCTATGGGCTGCAGACTCAGAGTGCCCTGCCTGGGGGCTCTGTAAGGACTATAGATTGTAGACTCAGAGTGGCTCTGTAAGGACTATAGATTGTAGACTCAGAGTGGCCTGCCTGGGGGCTCTGTAAGGACTATAGATTGTGGACTCAGAGTGCCCTGCCTGGGGGCTCTGTAAGGACTATAGATTGTAGACTCAGAGTGGCCTGCCTGGGGGCTCTGTAAGGACTATAGATTGTAGACTCAGAGTGGCCTGTCTGGGGGCTCTGTAAGGACTATAGATTGTAGACTCAGAGTGGCCTGTCTGGGGCAGGGTCTACAATATGAGCAGATATTTGCTGTGCAGAGTGACCATGGAAGATACAATAATAAGTTACTTTCATTCAATAGTCAGAACATTCTAAATCTACAATTGTTATTTACTTTTGACTGGTGAAAAACCAGGGCTCCAAGAGTTTAACTGACTTACTCAAGCCATCCAGCTGGTAAGGAAATAAATACTAGCAGCTAGGAGCTCTGAGGACCTAGAGACGGGAAGTATGAACGACTAAGGACAACAAGCTCTGTTGGCAGCAGAGATTTAGTGTTAGGGGACATCCCATAGTCTGCAGACTGTTGCCCTGAGGGTTGTTGGAAGACACTGAGTTGCAACTCATTTCAACAGCTCTGCTGATGAGGGAGGGATAATCATTGGGGCAATTTCTGTTGTAACTGATACTTTCCAGTTAACGGATGATATACAAGGTGCTTAAGTCACTCCAGAAGTGTGATGATAACCTGTGGACAGACACTATCATCTGACTTTTAAACTGCTCTAGGATTGGAGGACCTAGGAAGGCATTCCAGGTCTGCCACCAAAGGACTGTGTGACTCCGGGCAAATTCCTTTGCCTCTCTGAATATTTGCTTATTTTTTATCAGAAGAAGCCTAACATCTGAGGTGTTTGTAAGAAGTGCGTGTTATTTGCAAAATGTGGGAGATACTAAACACCCAACCTTGGCTGTTAACCTATTCCTGAGCCAGGCAAAGTCTGCCTAATACCATAGGCATGAATAGCAGAATATTGCTAGCAGTGTTAAGTACAGCAGGGTCAAACTGCAAAGCCAAGACGCGGGACTCCCTCTCTCTTTTCTGAAGACAGATTTCTGCTATTGCTCTACTGGACAGAAGGAGACCTCATCAGTGGGTGCCCATCTCAGCCAACTGAACCTGTTCCTAGCAAAGAGAAATCTCTTTCTCTCTGGGCTATGGAAACTGGGGATGACAGAGTGTCCTTAAACTAGAAATGACATCCCTCAGGCCACCTTCATCCACCTCCTATGTTCATAGAGATGGGTGTGTGGCAATGTCTTATTTCCTACGAAGCAGGAACTTATTTACCACAGCTCTGCCATGGGCTCTGACTGAAAAGTCTCATTAAGAATCCTCAGGAAATCATACCAAACCATTTTCTAGTCACCTGAGGAATGGACATATGAGTACCTCTAGTTAAAAGTGTCTGTCAATTCATTCTTCATCCACCCACCCATCCATCCACCCACCCATCCACCCACCCACCCATCCATCCACCCACCCATCCATTCACCCACCCATCCACCCACCCATCCATCCACCCATCCACCCATCCACCCACCCACCCATCCATCCACCCATCCACCCATCCATCCACCCACCCATCCATCCACCCACCCATCCACCCACCCATCCATCCACCCATCCACCCATCCATCCACCCACCCATCCATCCACCCACCCATCCACCCACCCATCCATCCACCCATCCACCCATCCATCCACCCACCCATCCATCCACCCATCCATCCATCCACCCACCCACCCATCCATCCACCCATCCATCCATCCACCCACCCACCCACCCATCCACCCATCCATCCATCCACCCATCCACCCATCCACCCACCCACCCATCCATCCATCCATTCATCCATCCATCCATCCATCCACCCATCCGTCTGTTCCTTCAGTATATACCCACTGGACTCATATCATGTGACTAACTTCCTTCCTCTGTCAGTCTCCCCAAGCTTCTGAAAAGGAATTAAGTCCTAACCACTTCCTCCCATCCTGGAGACATTCAGGAAGGAGCATATTTGACTGCAGTAACTCCAGCTCCAGCTATACATGGGGCCTCAAGGGTACACGGCTGTAATTCTGTTGTAAACAGCTCTGTGGAGTCTCACTTCCCTTGGCAGCAGACAGCCTGGGGTCATGCTGGACAACATCTTCATTCATCACACCTAATTCCTGTACATAGACTAGGCACCAGGCCATGTTTTATTTTCTGTTGAGAGGACTTGTATCTATCCTCAGAAAGTTGCTCTGGGGAGGCATGGCTTCATGCCACACTCTGTCATTTCCTAATGCTCAAGAATATCAAAGGTGATGGCCAGCTGTGGAGCCAGAGGCCTGGGTTTGCACCCCACCTCTGATACTGACCACCCTACTGGTACAAGATAAGTTGGGTAATTTCCCTGGCCTCCGTTTCCTGAGCAATGCCAAAAGTCTGAGTAGAATATCACATGTTACATGGACTTATGGAGGTCAAGGGAGGTGGTATTTTGGACACAGAGACATCACAAGTCCTCAACATATGTCTACCCATGCTCGTGACCCTTGCTGTGGATTAGGCCTCTGAGACTCATGGGTTCCAGCCTGTGATGAGCACAAGGTGCTCTCCATCTGGTCTGCTTACATTTGATGAAGCAGCGGATGGCTGCTCAAGGAAGGAGAGTAGCTTGCCCATCACCCATTTGAGCTGGTCCCACTATGGGTGCTAAAGATGTAATGTGTGGAAAGTAAAATTTAGGGGAGCCGGGCGTTGGTGGCGCACACCTTTAATCCCAGCACTTGGGAGGCAGAGGCAGGCGGATCTCTGTGAGTTTGAGGCCAGCCTGGTCTACAAAGTGAGTTCCAGGACAGCCTCCAAAGCCACAGAGAAACCCTGTCTCAAAAAACCAAAAAAAAAAAAGTAAAATTTAGGGGAATTGGTCTAACTCTTCTTCAAGATTGCGGTCACCCCCCACATGATTTCACAACACCCCGAGTCGAAGAACCAGCTCTCTGGTTAGTGACTGTACAGTGGGGACAGGCCTCCAGAGGTCAGGCACAGTGGGCTTAGCCAGCCATGGGCCTCTGGATACCCCAAGGTATCTCAAGCAAGCCCAGCTCACAAAGCACTTGCTGTTGGTAGGCGTGCTCTTTTGCTGGGATCAGCATGACAGCAGGAGTTAGAGTTGGGAAGTTGGGAATGGGGAAAAGTAAGTTAGCCTCTTCCCTGAATGAGCTGTGTGGTCTTAAGACCCCTGAGACACAGGCTCCACATTTGCAAGTTGAGCTCTCTGGGCATCAAATGAGTCAGAGTATTTTAAGAGTAATGAAAGCACTCCATATAGACACTACTCATTGAGTTCAGTGTCTCCTTTTTTTTTTTTTGAAAACTAAGGAGGGTGTCTGTAGGTGGGAGGGATCCCACACAGATTGACAAGAGGAAGATTTGTTAATTCATCCGTGGGAATACAAACTGTCTGGCCAATATGAAAATCAATATAGAACTTCCTCAAAAACTTAGAAGTTGAATTATAACACAACTCAGCTATACCACTCTTAAGTGTGGGTCCAAGGACTCCAAGTCAGCAAACACCATGGCTACCTGCATATCTGTGTTTAATGCAGGAATATATACACAATAGCCAAGATAAGGAACCAGCCTAGGCATTCATCAACAGAGCAGTGCTATCCACCCATCCTTCATCCATCCATCCATCCATCCATCCATCCATCCATCCATCCATCCATCCAATGGTTTTATTTAGCTATAGAGAAGACTGAAATTAGGTTGTTTTCAGGAAAATAGAGCTTGAGATCATCATATTAAGCAAAATAAGCTAGACATAGAAAGACAAATATTACATTTTCTCCCTTATGTGGAACCTAGACCCCCCTCTCTCTCACAGACACAGACACACAGACACACACACACATACACACACACACACACACACACATACACACCCACACCCACACCCATACATATACACAGACCATGAAGGTAGAGGGGACAATAACTGGGGAAGGAAAAGTAAGGGTCTAAAGACTGTGGAAAGAGATAGGTCAAAACACCTGATACACTTCAATGGATGTCATATGAACTGATCA